TCTAATGGGATGTCAGTAAAATATATTGAGAGTTTAGCCTCTTTAAGCCATGGGACAAACAGAGTTGAGGAACAAGCAGTTGGTGAGGGCAAGAAGAAACTAACAGAGTTTTTGGTGGTGAAGGTCTCATTTTATCTAATTGATTTAGAATTGGGAACAGAGGGAACAGAAGTTTTGGTGATAAGCCCTTACTAGAAGAAGAAAAAAAAGAAACTTCAGGAAGCAAGGTAGAAAAACAAGGCCCCAGTGGCTGCTCTTCCAGAGGTCCTGAGTTCAGTTCCCAGCAACCATATGGTGGCTCACAACCATCTGTAATTAGATCTGGTGCTCTTTTCTGGCCTGCAGGTAGACATGCAGGCAGAATACTGTATACTAAATAAACAAAATCTTGAAAAGGAAAAAAAAAAAGAAAAAGAAAAACAAGGTATCCACTTAGCAGGTTGGGCCAGAGCTGTGGCTCCTTGAAAGTGAGTGCCCACAGAAAGTACCCTAGCAGTAGGCACCTGCTCCAGTTCTCCCAGACTTGATTTGGCAGGCTTCAGGGACTGGGTGGGATGGCCAGCTGTGCTAATCCCACTTCTGTAACTCTTCAAAAGCCATATTCTTGTTCCGGAAGTCAAGCCCTCCTGTGTGTTAACTTGAAGGTGGCAGTGATAAATGATGCTCATTTGTATTTGTCTGTTTGCTTAATAATCCATCATAGCTATCCAGAGCTAGGTGATTTCTCATCCTTTATCTTTACTTAACCCCTTCAGCCCTAAGGGAAAGTTTAAAATGAGCAAATCCAGCACCTAGGGGTTGATAGTTACTGAAACCCCCTTGCAAGGGGCAAAGATCTTAGTCTCCTTAAGACATTAACCCCTCTGTAAACTGGCCCACAGTTCCTTTAAATCTCTCAGAATGACTCAGGATGCACACATTTGACTTCTAAAGCAAACACAAAATGAAAACCATCTCTTCCTGAGAGAATCATGCCCAATCGTGTTGTTAAGTCTCACCACGGAAGTGAAATCTCAGTATGGCCCTTTGTTAGGTATAATTAAATTCCAGAGATTTCACTTAAGTGACACTTAACAATTATGCAATTTAGTTGAGCATAGTTAATGGAAGGTAGCTGTTGTTAATACCACAAATACACACCCATTAGGACAAATGACTCCTATGATGTAGAGACATTTAGAGCTTTTGAGTATTTACAGAGAGTCCCCCATGTCCAGAAGAGCTTTGTTCATCTGCAAACCTTGGACTGAAACTATTAGAAATATGAAGTATATATTAAGTATGTAGACTTTTCCCTTTGCTGTCCCTTAAACTATACAGTATAACAACTTTTATATACCATTTAAATTATATCAGATATTGTACGTAATCTAAGATGACTCACGAGGCAAGGAAGGCTGTGTATATGTTGCATGCTGGTATTGTGGCATTTTGAGTAACAGATTTCAGTATCTAGAGATTTGGGTATTCTGAGAGGTGGAGTTCCTTGGAACCAATCAGCTGTAGATCTCAAGGACAAAAGTATTTCCCCTTGTACCAGGTTGTTAGAGACATCACTTCCTCTGAGCATTTATTTGACTGGTTCCTGCCATATAACCTGTAATAGTACTGATGCTCATAGATTCATAGGTTTTTGTATTTTGCATCCCACACTATATTGTTCCCATTTCTGTTTACTTAGTCAATTCCCCCACACACACAGCTGGGGCTCAAACCCAGGGCTTTAACAATGCTAAGCAGTTAACTACTCAACCACTGGGTTTGCCCCCAGTCTTCAGTTGTCTTCAGGAGTTAAATGCCTTCAGTGTCTATCCTCAAAAGGAGTCATTCACCTATCTTTTTCTTGGACTATTTTCAAAGCTAACGCTCATTCTGCTTTTATCTATGTTCACTGTGCATGTAATATGGGCTTGACTTTAAGGCTTTTTCTCTTCATTGTTCGTGTTGAATAATTTGTTTCTGATGAACCTTGGTAAACTTTTCTTCATGTTCTGTGTGTTAGGGTTTGTTTCTGTCAAACATTTCAATTGTTTTCGTTGCTCTTTGGAATTTCCCAGTTATTAGTATATCCAAAGAGGTTTCACATTGCACTGATGTGGTTTTCACCACTTAAAATCTTGTTTTCTATATTTGATTTAGAGTCATCTTTATAGTTATGTCTTCTTTTCATTAGTGTTTTTCTCAAAGAGTCTTTAATTTGCTTTTATTCTTATCAATTATAAACTATCATAAACAGTATAATTTTCATCTTTAATTTGATTCAGGTCTCTAAACACATACACACACACACACACACACACACACACACACACACACACACACACACCTTCAATGTCTTCACTTAACACATTTCATCATATCCCTAGACTCTTGGCCATATGGCATATAGTCATAAGTGTCTTAATGTCCTTGTCTGATCATTCTAACATTATCACTAATTCCTGATTGGTTTCCATTTGTCAGTTTTTCCCCTCCCTGTTTGGGTCATAGTTACCTGTTTCTTTTGTAGTTCATTATATTTCTTCATTGACATTTTTATTCAGGATATAATGCATGTTGATCATTCCTCTTCACCAGCTCTTATCTCCCTCCCCACCCTCTTACCTACAAATATTTCCCACACATCCCTGTCTTTTTGTTGTTGTGTTGTATTGTGTTTTGTGACCTGCTGTGTTTCATAAGGGCCGTCTGCATGGCCATAGGTTTGGAGTTGCTTATCGAAGGGTGAGCAACATTTCACAAGTCTGGTATCTTGTAGGAGATGCTAAGTGGTGTAGATTTAATTTTGCCTGTGGTAAGTATTGCTGCATTCCTAGAAAGCTATTCTCAAGCTTCTTTATGAGGCAGAGTTGAGTTACCAGGAAACACTCTGATGCAATTGAGTCTTATTTTTAAGTCAGTATTAAGGAACCAGAACCCGTTTATTCCCAGGCTACTTATTCCTCACCTCCAAGTCAGAACCTTCACTGTGCTATGTGAATTATGGAGTTTTCTAATATGGCAGGTGGGAATGATGCCCTATTCTTGGCCCTGGTTTGAGCTTTGTCTCCTTCAGTTCTTTCAGATGGCTCCTCCCCTATGTTGGAGCAGAGCTCAAGAAGGACCCTAGAATTCTTCCTCCACAGAACTGTCCTCCTGCCTGACAAGCCCTCAATGGTTCAATCTTGCTGGAGTCTTCACTCTGCTTCCTTTACTAAAGTGTCTTCCAAGCCTCCCCATGAGCTCCTGTTCCTATACCAAGGCTTGTAAACTAGAGGCAGAAATGTGGGTAACCATGGAGCTCACATCACTGAACCTGCTTAGTTACTGCTCTCATGAGTTGCTGTCTGCTGTCCTAACACATAACAAAAACAATTTTTCATATGATTTATCCAGGATCTGATTGTTTCTGGAGACAGAGAAATTCTAGTCCCTATTACTCCAGCTTGCCAAAAGCTGAAGTCCTTTTAAGGTCAATTTTGGGTGAATATTGCCATATTTTATCCTTGACAGCACAAGGAGTGATGGTTATGGCAAAGAAACTGTTAGCTCAAAATTTTCCTTTGAATTCCTCAGTCTCATCCAGGTTCAGCAGTTATGTCTATTGATTCCTAGCTTTTAAATTTCTTGAGTCTGAATTAAAGGATATGAGATTTGAAGATCCTGATTATCAAAAGGCCAGCATTCTTATTTCTGCTTTGACCTGAGGAAAATGAGCTAGACATGGGCTGACTGGACCTGGGAGACCACTTCTGCTTTGTCAGGCACATGGCAGTTAAGACTGGCTTCCTCTCACTATGGGAAGAAAGCATTGATGTTCATGAAAGCATCCTCAAGACTCTATCTGGAAAACCTAAGCAGTGTCTAAGAGCTTTGAGCTTTTCTTCAGCAGTTAGGTGTCCAAGCAATAGAAAAGCATGTGTTTCTCACTTAGATATCTGCCAGACATCTAAGCATCATAGCTATCAAAAATCACTTTTTTTTACCAACTTCCAGACTCACTCTTTGTCTTTTTTCCCAGAGAAAATAAGGCTTTATAGTGTAAACAAGAGTTACTAGAGAAGAATAGGAATCCAATAATTTGGGCTAGAGTGAAACTCAGTTAACAGAGTATTTACTTGCATGCATGAAGTCCTGTATTTGCTCCACAGCACTGCATAAAACTGAGTTGCTAAGTATAAAGGTGTAGTCCAAGCATTCAGGGGTTAGAGACAAGAGCATGAGATGTTCAAGGCCATCCCCAGCTTGGCTACATAGTGAATTTGAGGCCAGCCTGCAATGTGAGATCTTGCCTCAAAATACAAAGCCATAGTTTAATCTTTAGTACAGTGACTTGCTATCAGGCACCTGTTCTTTCAACTCCATCACAACACAGCACAGCACAGCACAGCACAGCACAACATAATAAAACATAGCACAACACAGCCCAGCCAACACAACACAACCTAGCACAGCACAACACTACATATGATGTAGACAACATGTACTTATGATGCCTGAAAATCCTAGCCTGTCCACATACCATTGTTCTTTCTCTGCCATATCTGGTGTTTCATGGTAACAAAAGCAACAGTCTACACTAGGAGGTGGCCTTATATAGTCTTAGAATTAGAGTCCAGGAAAAGTTAGAAGAGGGTTTATATCTAAAACTTAGTTAAAGGAGAAAATATATATCTGCACATATATTCCATATTAGTGTGTTATTGTTTTATTAATGTGACATTTAGGGGCATATGCACTTCTTGGATCTTCTTGTTTCTAGTAAAGATTCAGCTCACAATCCATTGTATTACATTATAAGAAGTAAGTTCTTCTACTGGGTCATGTTTTACTCTTGTATTGTAGATAAAGTTTTACATGAGATTTCTGATATTTGAGAATAAATGTCTTTGGAAGTCCCCCCATTGGGGCCTTCATGGTCAGACCATAGAAGATCTCTAATGTGCCATGCATATTTGCTCTTGGTCTTCTGGGCAGCATGTTTTCATTTGCCTAACCACCAGGTCTCTTTCTCCCCACAGGCACCCGAGTGGGCAGAACAAACAGCTGTCAGTCAGATAGCAGTGGGTTTTTGGAGGAGCTGCCAGAGCCCCATTCCCTCCAGGTAAGGGGTGCTGGATTGGGGTGCTGGATGCTTGCTATATACATTTCATTCCTATCAATCACCCCCAGTCATACCCTCACTCCTAGAGTACTTGGAAGGATGAGTCCACACTATACACACACACACACACACACACACACACACACACACACACACACAATATCAGTCAGCAAAGAATGATAAAATCACAGTAGACCAAGTGCCAGGATGCTTACCTTTCCTCTCCTTTCTCTTTTGTTTGTTTTTTTTTTTTTTTTCTAAATTATGAGCTGAACATCCTAAGGAAGAGGCGGTACGTGAAGCAGTCATTTGTTATGATTTCACATTTATAGCCTGTGCTCATGACTTCTGTGTCACTGGTTACATTCCATGTAACATTGCTGCATCTTCCTCATTCTTTCCCATGTCGGTTTCTCCTGCAGGTGTCTTCCTTGCCAGGCAGCCACAGTCCCACTGAGTGTAGAGGTAGCAAACCAAGCAATCAGAGTCATAGCCCAGCACCATGGCAAGACTGTCAGCAAGAGTCCAATGGCTCTAAATCCAAGAGCATGGTGAGCTCATCTTTGTCAAGCCAAGGTGGGAGTATCTTGGAAGGAAAAGTCTCAGGACCTGTGGAGGAGGAAGAACTTCAACTTGAGATCATGAAGAGGTCACCAGAAAGACTCAACCCAGATATGACCCTCACCAAGACCATGATGGTGGGAGAATACCCAGGGAGTGCTGTTGAAACTGTAGCCACTTCTACATGTGATAATCCAATGGGGATCATGGTGACTCATGTCACAGAAAAGGAAGACAGGTCTCTGAGGCATCAGGGTACCGGGAAAATGCTGATACAAAGGCATCACTCTGAGTCACCAAGGTCGTCCGGGATTGATCAGCCTCCAGACAATTTCTATAATGTGGACTCTGAGGTCCCAGGAACAGAGGACAGCAGCAAGGTCTGCCCTGACATCAAGCAAAGCTCAGTGGTGCCAGAGAGGCTAGCGCAGCACAGAGGAGCCATGCCCTATAAAGGTGACCTTGTTCATAGCTCTGAGAAGTCAATTCCCCACCTTGATAAGCCAACTGGAGATGCTCCCACTGACTCAAGTGCTGCCAGCTCTTGGTCTGAGACAACCCAGATGTCCTGCAATCTGGTGTCAGCTGCTCACAGTGTTGCAGACTTAGGAACCAACTATAAAGGAACATCTTTAGAATGCAGTCCACATGACCCTGTTAATACCACAGACCTGAGACTGCAGACAGAAACAAAGCAAGTCAATGATGTCGCTGTTCAAACTTGTGCATATGAATGGGAGCCCAGGCCCTCACATAATAAGGCCTCAATTCATAGGCCCTGGCCCTTCACCAAATCCATCTCTTTGGACACAGGTTTTCCTAGCACCTCCCCAACAGACCTCATACCTGCCCACTGTTGTGTCTGCTGTCATATCTGTCCCAACTGCCAGGGGAGGAGGCAAAGCCCTGGCCCAGAACCCTCTCTTTGCAGGCATTGCCTGTACTCACATACAGAGGATCCTGAAGCCAGGTTCATGAAGACATTGAAAATACTTCGGGACACTACTGTGAGGGACTTGTGTTCTGTAAGTGTTTCCTCTACAAAGTGGGGAAGGCAGATGCACCAACCGTGCCTCTAGCATCATAGAGATGGTGTTCATCTTCTTTAATGGCAGAGAAAACTCAGGGTATAACTCTTGTTTTCAAACAAGAGTGTTTGTTGAGTGTTTTATAGTTTATGAGAATGACTCATATGTTTAAGGTTATAACACTAATGGACCTGTCTCATCTCCAAGTCAGTCTAGCTGAGAAGTTCTGGGCTTTAAATTATGGGCTAGATAATCTTGCTTGGGCCATTTAGTGTCTCTGAAACTGTCATATAAAACAATGGCATGAGTACTGTGGATGCAACTCAGTGGTATAGTACTTGCTTAAACTCTTGGGTTTAATTCCAGGAACCATGAAATGTATTCATTCATACATACATGTATACATTTGTAGGGAATTGATTCATTCCATTGCCATAAAAATATTTTGGAATGAAATAAAGGTTTGTGAAGCACTCAACATAATTATAGACCCATCACAATATTTAACACCAAGAACAGTATTTAACATCAAGGCAGTATTAATTGATAGGGTTAAGACCCCCAGAGGCTCAGGCCTCCAGGATCTTAGCCCAGGACAGCAGTTGAACGCTTGATCACCAGGCAGAGTCGAAAGCTTGATACAAACTGCATGAGGCTTTATTAAAGTTGTTTAATGAGCTAACTCCAGGTTAGCTCGGGCCTTTCATCCATCCATCATGGCGGATGGCTAGGAAAGACAGCTTGAAGCGTCTGCATAGAGATCTTAAAGGGCAGTGTAAGGGAAGTGTCTAGGGGTATGCACAGGGTCAGGATTGGTGTGCCTCCAGGCTTGGAGGGCTTGCCCTGGGTTTATTGGTCAACTGGTTGTTATGGCCCATAGGCCCTCCCAGGGTGGTTGCTATGCTCTGTACGACATTGCTGTGCACTTGTCCGTAAAGCATACCCAGAACCATAAAGCATAGCACCACCAGCTAACTTCTGTTTGGTTCCTTGCCACAAGGCAGGCATCTGACCTCCTTGTGACCAAGGCAAGGTCAGGCAAGCACGTGTTCGGCTGTTATGGCTGCTGAAATGAGGAGCAAATTGACTCTAATCATCAATTTGTATTACTATTTTATTTTTGCTGAATTACATGAACCTCTGATGTAGAGGGACTTCTGGTCAACCTTTGGTAACTGGCTTGACCGTGAGTATTGGGGTTACTAAAACCTGAGTGATATTAATGTACTTTAAACTTTGATTAACCAACTTGTCTTTAATGAGTCCTTTTCATGCTCTTTTTCAGTAATTTTAGGGCAGGGATAATCTAGGAGTTCAAGTATAACTATCAAGTAAAATATTGAGACTACCACATCTGAAATACCACATATAAAGAGAAAAGGGTATTTATGATACAGGATTGCAGCTGTTCAGAGACATTACAGAGGAACTGTGACTTACTGAGTACTAGAGTACAATGCCTGATGTGTTCCTGTCTGTCTTTTAATTACACAAAAATATACTGAATGTCTATTCTAAACATTTAATTTATATTGTGTCATTTAATCTTAGATTTCTCTTATTCCATAAATATGTATTGGGTTTCTAATATGTGGCAAGTACTCTCTCTTTTGTAAATTAAAAAAAGAAAAGAACTAGAACTGGGAGAATTTGGGTAATCTTTCAGCACTTCTCAACCACTAAGTGGAGAATCCCAACTCAAATTTTTAGACAATGATGTGCCCAACTTTAAAATGACTAAATCTGTATGAGAGTGATTATGTGAAAGATAAAGTAAATTATCATGTGGACTTCTAACATATAGAACTCTACATAACCCTAACATAAATTGAGAAATGAGTTTTCAGATTGCAAGACACCAGACATTTAGAATATTTAAGAATAAGCCAAGAATAAAGGTTGTACTAATCATAGAAAGCTTCATATAGGCATTGTAACCAACTCTGGTTTTTTTACTTGGTGGAAGAAAAGGGCAAAGGCTGATGTATAGCTTGGATTCTGGTGTCAAACTAGTCAGGTTGAAAGCCTGGAGAATGGAGCTGTGGATATAGCTCAGTGGTAGAATTCCTTGTTACCTCCATCTTCAGTACCAAAATAAATAAAATAAAATCTGGGAGAATAGGAAAACCACCCCTGTACTCATTTATTGAGGGGTTATAAGCACTTCAAGAAATTATTCTTTTACTGTGAATAATTTCTTGTCCTGACCCTACATCAGCTGACATCGCCAGTCTTTTGAGATGTCTTTACTTGTCATAACTGAAAGAGTAGTGGGTGATATTATACTGGTAACAAATGAGCAAAGATCAGAGATGATGTTTTCTTAATATATATATATATATATGCACAGGACAGCACAAGAACAGATAATTATTTAGTCTAAAATGTGTTGTCAAAATTGAAAACCACAGCTCTGCAACAATAAGCATTCACCTGACCATTTAGTTATATGAAATCATGTTGGACATGAAAGTTCACTAAAGAAGGCAACATCTGAAATCTTATACACATAATTAGACCACAGCAATAAGCATTCCTATTTCTGTAATGAAGTCCTAGTCCAGGTATGGAGACACATGTCTGTAATGCCATAACTCAGTAGATTAAGACAGGATGGTCATTATAAGTTCAAGGTCAGTCTGATCTACATAGCAAGTGGGTAGGGACTATGTAGTGAGACCTTACTTCAAAGATAAATTTTATAAAGAAGCATAAATTAAATCATATTTAGTCTTACATTTTATTTAAAATAACAAGAAAAATACAATCAAAATTATGTCTAAAAATTCAGAAGAGTCCTTCAAGACATACCCAGTATAACTTGATAATTATAGTGCCGTGGTATGAAGCTAAATCTGCCTTCTGATCACATCACCCCCACCAATTGAAAATAATGTATATAATTTCTTGGCAATGTTAAGAAGAAGAGAAATAATAAGCATGTATCTGTAGAAGCTAGAAGATGACTGCATCAAATCGGGTTTGATAGTTACTACCAACTTGAGGAGACCTGGAGAAACTACTCAGTATAGGGACTCAAAGCTGGTTCGAGGCTAAGGCTGCTGCTTATGATAGAGACTGAGCCTAGACCTGCACCAGGACCCACGCCTAAATATGTACCAGAGTCTTCCCTCCCCTATTTCTGTCAAAAGGGGACTTGTAGACTTACCTACTTCTAGCTGTGTGGAATGATTTGACATCTAGAAACAGGTGTTCTGCTTCACGTGGCCCTACAGCATAGAAAGGTCTGTGGCCCATAGTGCATAGTCACCATCCTCAGACTTGTATGTAGGCATCAAACTAGCAGTAATTGGCTGAGTCTGAATTTTGCTATCCGTGCTCTCCTAGCCCTGGCCTCATGATTCCTTAGCCCTCTTCCTCCTGGAGTCTGAAATTACCAGGGGTTGGGGAGACAATTCAGTAAGGTGCTTCCTGCACGACCACAAGGACCTGAGTTTGTATCTTCAGTACCCACACAAAAAGCTGGATGCGAGGGAGGGGGGCATACTGGAAGCTGCCTTTGTGGGGCTGCAGTGAGAGACAGCTGAGCAGCCCACTGTTCAAAGGGGAGTGTGGCCTAAAGAAAAGTAGCTAAAGGAGTTAAAGGAAAAGAGGGAGATATAGCATAGTGTCAGGAGGGCAGATTCAGTTAATGCTGATTTGCCACGAGTTTGTTTTTCACCACTCTCATATCCTTAACCAAAAAGGGGATCATGGTAACACGTATATGGAGCAAACAGACTTTTCTTCCTCTTTACTCTAAGGGTTCAGTAACCGCACCTTAGATTCAACTTCTTATTCCCTGACCTTGAGGATCAGGAATAACCACACCTCAGACCAGGTCTGTTGTTATTTAGAATAAGACAGTCAACGCCAAGATCGAACATCCTACTATAGTCACACCTTTGACCTTTGGGTCTCATGACTTGCTGAGGACAGTTTTGAACTCTCTACTGTTAAGCCAAGATGGATGGAGTGCAGTCATCTTATGGGTACTAATAGGGGCATGCACCTGTAATTTCAGTGCTGGGAGGGGGGGGTGGTGCGAAAACAGGTGGTTCTCTGGAACTTACTGATTAGCCCATCTAGCTGACTAGGTGGGCTCCAGGTTTATCTAGAGAGTTTAGTCCCAAAATAAGGCAGAGGATGATTGAGGAAAATACTTGATGTCAACCTCTGACACAAACACACACACACACACACACACACACACACACACACACACACACACACACCTGCACATACATGAACATACATGCATACATAATCACAAACAAACAAATAAAAAGAATTAGTAGTTATACAGAAAAGACACAAGAGTAATTGCTTTGGTTGAAATGGATGCTCTACAGTTTTACTAGATGGCCATGTGTTTCTCTTCTTTTAAATTTAGGGGATCAGATATATTCATTCAATGTGAACAGTGAACTCATGTGCTCAGATACACTTACACATTAGTATCTGTTTGCAGGCACACACACACACACACACACACACTTACACACACGTCAGTAAGCATTTACACACACATGTCAGTAAGCACGGGATTGCTTTCTCCCATGAGCAAGGTGTTATTCAAAACTGGTGAAGGAAAGTAATGCTTGTAATGACACCTGCTGCTTCTGAGCCTGAGAATTCACCTGATTGGGTTCGTGAAACATGAGACAAGGTTCTGTAGGACATGCGTCTTGAAGTGAAATGCTATGGGATAGCTAGGGTTAGGAAATCTATTGGACAAAAATAACTAGAAACTAGGCCATGTGTGAAATGAAGATTACAGGCAGAGATGGATGTTATCTGTCAAATGGCAACAGGCATTTAAAGTAGATGTTGAAAGGAAGAGCAAATTTGGATAAAATCTTGATTTGAAAAAAGTATCCCCCCTTCCATTGTCTCTTACCCAGTGATGTGTGACACTGTGGAGAAATCCACAGCTGACTTTGTGGTCTTTTAGCTTACCTAGAAGAAAGGTTTGTTAGTGTGATTAGATTCATATGTGTACGTGAGTTTTTTAACAATAATTCGTTGGTGGAAAACTGATGTGTTCATATAATTAACCTTCCATATATGAATTCTTGGGAGTAATTTAATTAAGATATGTTAATGCAAAGCCAAGCACATTTCCAGAATAAGATGCATGAGAAATAAGATTTCTGAGTATTAGAAAATCTTCTAAAATATTTATAGGTTTGGATAGAAGAAAACAGAAATTGTGCAAAGTTTAAAAAGTGAGTCAGTTAGGAAGTGAAAGGTTGTGTGTGTGTTTTGGTTTGGTTTTACAGGCTCACTCTTACTGTTGGAGTCTGCATTAAATGAGTTGGGCCAGTAGAACAGACCTTGTATTTTATGTGTGTTTGACCCAGTCTTTACATAGAAAAAGAAGAGATCAACACCTCTGCTTCCCTTCTTCCCCTTGCCTGGGGTTTCCTTTCTTCTGAAATATTTTTGCCACTTCTGGAGCTAAACTGTGTATTTCTGAATGACCAGAAGATGGCAGCACTTCAGAATTTTTCCATAGCACTACAGTCTTAACATCACAAACTGGCTGTCAGCTATTCCCAAATCCAAGCCCTACACCCCGTATCTCCCAACCACAAAGGGTTGCCCCCAAACATCGAGCTGAGGCTTGAAGCCCAGTGTTAATGACATCAGTCTGCTTGAGAACTGTGATGCCATGGTCTGGCCTTGATGTACCTTGAACTTTGAAAGCAGTTACCTGAGTTGACCTGAAGCACTGAGCCAGTTCCCTCCTGAGGGACAGGGCCCTCCTCATGCTGTCTGGTCATCCTTCATTCCATGAAGTGACTTGGTTAGATATTGGGAAGGAAAAGACTGGCCATGTGACTTGAATTTGAAATCTGAATAGCATTTTTGAATACAGCCATTAAAGAGATCATGTTTGAACACTTATCTACAAAAGATGCTCTCATGGATTCCAAGATCGCTTTCATTTTCATGAGCCACATTTGGTAATGTTTGAAGCCAACATAACTTGTGCCAAAGACTTCCTTCAGCTGATTCAGGTTCACTCATACTAAAGCTAAATATATCAGTCAATATATAATAACTCAAAACAAAATGAGGTAGAGTTTTCATATTAAAGTGTCAGTCTTAGAATAATATTCCCATTATGAAGCTTCTCGATGAAATAATAATCACCAAGCTGCCATGATCTTGGTCATATGACTTTGAGGATAAAAATAAAAACCAATGTTGGACTTGGCAGAAACTGAGGCAGAACGTGGTGGAGGCCGTGGCACAGTAGTCAAATGACTCTCATTTAAATTGCGTCTCAAGTGTCCACAATATCCTCCAAGTTCCGGTTCTTTGACTAGAGCAGCATTGGGAGAAAAATTTAGTGAATGCCGATTTTCAGTTGGACAATTGCTGCTTGTAAAGCATTAGACTTGTGTTAAGAGGAAAGGGGGTGAGGAGGGTGAGCTGCAGCCAGCAGCTTCTCTTACCGATCCAGAAGGGAGTCTGATAGAGACAGCTAGAGATCCACCAGTGTTAACAGCACTTAACATCAGATGGTGGCTGCCCTGGGGCTCTGGGTCACAGGAGTACACAAAGAGGAATCCAGTACACATTTCAAAACAAGGGGGAGAGCTGTCAGGAGATCAGCAAGTCAGCATAGTGTCCCACAGATAGACTGGGCTCAGTGGCTCTCAGACGCACAGGGGACATCAGTAAAAGTGGTGGAAACAGATTTGATTCAGTAACTCCTGGCAGTAAGGGCAAGAGCTGAACTTTAGTTTGATCTGTGCAGGAGTGATCTGGGCAATTTAAAAACAAAGAAGGAGATAGAGGTGGGAGCAGGGCCTCAATTGGTGGGTGTGAATGCTAGAAGGACACACATGATTGTGACCTGACTGTATCTTAAACACTTCTAGGTAAAACAGTAAACAAGCTTTCATGATCTTGCACATGTGATTTTGAGGAGAAAGATTTTAAGAAGTCTTGGACTTTCCAGAAACAGAGACAATTCCATGCTCCCATGGAGACTTCTAGTTGGGTTCACATCAAATGAATGGCTCTCAGGTTCTTAAGAAAGACACTTCTGGCTTGTACAGCAGGCCTGTTCACAACTGCGAGCCCTTTTAGCAGCTGCTGCAAAGAAGGAAGGCTAGAGTCTGTGTCTCTGTGCCTCCCTTCCTGGCAGTGCCCACTCAACACAGCTCTCAGCACTCAGCAAGAAGCTCTTTTTTGCAACAGATGGATGGGTCTATTGTAAAGATCCACAGCTGGTCAAAATGCAGAGAATAAATACACCTTGTGGGACCAGACAGAATATCTATAGTTCAACCCCTGTATCATTTCAAGGAACATCCTGGAAGATGGGGTGGGAAGACTGTAAGAACCAGAGACAGAAATGTCTGCTGTGTGGCAGTGTGGACATGACAGGGATGTTACACCCATAAATTCTCAACAACCTGGTTGCCTGCACAAGACCTACAAAGACCACTCCTGTTTCCACACTAGCATGTATGGAGGAAAATTCAACTAGGCTTACCCCTAGATGAAAAACTACAGGCAATCAATGCTTGCTAAGAGTGAGAACGAGTTTTTCCCCCCCAAGTAGTAGGCTCCTATATCAAGTGTTTATTCCTAAATACATTCACATAGGAGCAACAGAAGGGTGCGTGTGTGTGTGTGTGTGTGTGTGTGTGTGTGTGTGTGTGTGTTTGACAACCTCGAGCTTTCCTAGGTGTTGTTTTATCTTTGGCACAGTGACTGCCATTAATCTACTGCCATTTCAGCTAACCATTGCAATTCCACAGTTACAAGCCTGCTTCTCTTGCAGTGCCCTGGCTGCTCAGGCCACAGCCTGGTGGGAGCTTTGTTTCCATAGGCACTGCTTCTGCTGATCTGCTAAAGTTAGCTTTAACTAAATCTCTGTGGTTCTATTTATAAATAAGACTCAAGATTCAAAGGCTGGGCTGAAAAACCTGCTAGCTTAGAGAGGTTGAGTAGCACCTAGGTAACCTTCTCTCCTTGCTGGCTTCTCTGAAAAAAAATGTCCTCCCACTCCACAAATAAAATAAAATAAAAGCTGTGCCACTCAAAATATCTCCTATCTCCTTCTGGTCTTCTGGTGCCTCTCTCTCTCTCTCTCTCTCTCTCTCTCTCTCTCTCTCTCTCTCTCTGTCTGTCTCTGTCTCTGTCTCTCTCTCTTTCTGATATCCTGTCCTCTGATGCTTTATGGTTACTCTCTATCAACTAGTTGCTAATTCAGTCTCCTGAGTCTAGGTTTATTTTATTTGATTAATGTGAATGCAAACTCAGGGTTCACAGTGTGATTGAATAGCCCTCATCACTTAGGCAAGCAATCTAACTGGATGATAGTGGGTGGTCATCCTAAGGACATACCCAAGTGCTATGCCAGAGGCTTGTCAACTCACTACAGGTCAAAATTATTAGCTGTAAAGAATTCCATAGCTCCTGGAGGTTGCAAGAATATATTAAATTAAAACACCAATAGACAGCAAGGGTTGAAAACTGAGTGGGTCTGGGATCAAGAAGAGCTCAAGTCTTGATTCTTGCTCATAGAGATCATGGGAGTCTAACATTTCTCTCACATGGGATTGTTAGATGAGTAGACTGGATCCTGCAGATTTCCCTCTTTAAGGATTATGGTTAAGAAAGGGTGAAACTAGTAAAAAGCACTCTAAGCAGATTTTCCTGAACAAATACATGAGTAGGTGTGTTCAGTTTTCTCAATGCTAAGAGTGAGCAGGCACCAACACTGAGCAGGATTAAAGGAGGCTTCATTTGTCTAAGGGTAAGTCTGCTCTCTGGTGATTCTTTCTCTTCTCCTCTGCCTACCTCCTTGCATCTCTGTATTGTGTAGGACTGGTTTGGGCTCCCCTGAACATAAGTAATTCTCACCTAGGTACCACTCAGCAACCACTCCCCTTTGTCTTAGTCAAATGCAACCTCTAATTTCATCCAAAGCCACGGGCTGAGCCTCCCTTTTCTCCTCTAAAAATGTTAGCAGTTGGTTTCTTTGTAAACAGTGAATTCCAAATGGGAAGGAAGGCAGAGCCTAGCCCTCTAGCCACATTAGCAGAAAGGTCACCATTCTCTGGCTTTTCTGTTTGTTGTCAGTGCACAGTCTATGAAATGGAAACCATGAAGATGGTGTGCCAGACTTTCCAGGAGCACTTAGAGGAAATTGAACAGCACTTCATGGGACAGCAGGCACTCTTTCCCAGGGACATGTCAGAAGAGGAAAGGTAATTATCTAAGGCAAGCATAAAAGTAAGTACCAGACCACACACCTGGAGCAAGGGAAGGGAATCAGGGCAGACAAGGCAGATGAGCATGATGGAGCAGGGCTAATGAGAAATGGGCCAGCTCTTCCTTTGCTTTCCTGGTCTTAGTTTTGCTTTCTCAGTGTGAAGCTGAGAGACCCATCACTGGATGGGTCCTCTCTTATTGAAGGTTGGGGCTATTTGGGAAGGTTAGAACAGGGGCAATTAGCTGGGAGGACAGGAAAGGCCAGCAGGATTTCTTTAATTGATAGGAATGGAGCTTGCACAGAAGCAAATATTGGAGGGAGGTATTAGAGTTTTGAAATGTGCATTATTGTTACCAGGATTAAAAATATTACCAAGATGGATACATCACTGATTGCCTGTGGCTGTGGGGATAGGTTTTAACAGTAAAGGGCATGAGTGTTGTGGATTCTGATTGGGGCGATGGCATGTTTTAGAGCTGCATGGCGGTCATCCTTAAACAACTTTGTGCTTTTCTTATAAATTATGTATTGCATGTGACAGTTTCTTGAAGTAGGTAAACATTATACATAAATTCTACCAAAACAGGCTTTCCATTTAAAGGGGGGATGTTGGGGATGTGGCTCAATGGTAGTGTGCTTGCATAAAATACAAACCCAGAGCTTCCATTCCATTCCTGAAAAAGGTGTGCAGGGTGGGGTGGGGGGTACCTGCCCTAGTAGCAGATTTATCTCTACAGCTGAATCAAATAAGGATGGCCAAAATGTCTTTTAAGTAATTACAGGGGCAGAGAGATGGCTCGGTAAATAAGGGCACTCACTTTGCCCAGCCGGACTACCTAAGGTTCATTGGGAGAACTGCTTGCAAGTTTCTCTCTGCTTGCCCCTCTCCTCATACACTGTGCCATGCATGCACACATCCACGCACACACATGAAGGCAAGCACACACTCACGCACGAGTGCGCATGCACATAGGTACACATAAAATTGAGAAAACATATCAAAGGCAGGACCCACTTCGTGAGAGGGACATGGAAGACTGCACCTGTGGGGATTTTGAAGTTTCCTTTTCCGTTGTCTCAATGCAGGGAAGAGGCTGAGGACCTAAGAAGTTTACGAGAGGCCCTGAGGCAGCAGGTGGCAGAGCTGGCCTTTCAGTTAGGAGACCGAGCCAGGCAAATCAAAGAAGGGATCCTACTGGTAAGGGGTGTGGTGGAGAATGGATGCAGAATCAAACTGTCCTCAATCTACAACTCATAGGAGAGCTGCTTTAAATAAGAAGCCAGTGCTGTGACAGTTTCAGACTGTAGCTTTGCATGCTACGTGGTCACACCTGCATTTTAGACATCAAGAGACTAACCTTGAACTGCTCTTGCCCACACAGCTGTCAAGTGGTGGGTGGCTCACTTTGCAGCTATTCCAAACTTTCTCCTGCTATGCAAAGGAGAGCAAAGTACTAGCACCCATTTTCCATGTGGGAACAAGGCTCTCAGAATAGCAAAGCTCACCTTTTGAGCCAGTATAAGCTAGGTCACTACTATACCCTGCTATTAGTTCATATGCCCATTATAGAAGTTTAGGACTCCATAAACACCTTTCTTGCATGTCTGAGGTAGCTATTTGTCTCCTGCATGCCGGCACTGGCCTGAAGAATCCCTCTTTCCTACTGGGGCCTCCATTCAAGTGAAAACAGAATTTGTGACCTCTTCAAAAATTAGTTCTAAGATAAGGCCGAATGAATCAGAATTGGAGTCTATTAAAGAGGTTTTTAGCATAGATTCTAACCACAGGGGTTAATAGAGGGCAGTGTCGGGGGAGAGTAAGGCATGTTCACATGTGGAGAGTCACATTTGGGTTTCTTTTTCATGGGTACATAGAGGATTTGTGTAGTTCTCAAATTACAGGGCTGTAAGTTGTGAAGGACTCCCTCCCCCTTTTAACACTGCTCAAAGACAGCAGCTCCCAACAAAGGTACTGGTTACAGACAGAGGGGGAGATGGCTCAGGAGTTAGGAGCACTTCTCTTCCAGAGTTTGCTGTATAGTACCCATGACTGCTGACTCACAACCACCTGTAACTCCAGCTGTAGGGGACCCCTTAGGCAACTACAAAGAGATGTGTAAATAATTATAAATTATAAAAATATTTTTTAAAAAATCTCAAGGGTTCCCTTCTCTCAACTTGTAAATTTCATGGGGGATGTTGTTTAGAGTTAAGAGCAAGAGATGAGTAGAAACTCATGGTCTCTACATAGTTTATATAACGGTTTATAATATATATACAATATAATATATAATAATATGTAATAGTTTATTTATTGTCTTTTGTAAAATATCTTTGGAAACATACATTGTTTTGATGAGCAATTTTGGCTTTCTTAGTAATGTCTGGTTTCTTGTCTTTCTCTACAGCTCAGATCCCTGGACCCACACATTTCTCCCCATGTACCCTGGTTACTTTCTGTGGCTATGATAAAACACCATGGCTAAAAGCAACTTGGAGACCAAAGGGTTTATTTAGCTTACAAATCACAGTAGATTATCAGGGTAAACAAGAGTAGTAATACAAGTCAAGAACCTGGAAGCAGGAACTGAAGTGGAGATTATGGGGGATTTCTTCTCTCTGCCTTGATCTCCAAGACTTGCTCAACCTGATTTCTTACACATCTCAGGACCATCTACCCAAGGGTGGCACTGCCCACAGTGGGCTGGGCCCTGCTACATTCATTATTAAGCAAAATATACATGCTATGTGATGGAAGCAGTTTCTCAATTGAGGATCCTCTTCCCAGATGACTCTAGCTTGTGTCAAGCTGACGAAGTAACCAGTGTAGCATGTCACCATGGCTGTCTATCTTCCTCTCTTGCTCCTCACCCACTCCTTTTTGTCTTTTCTTCCAGCAGCTAGACCATCTCTCAGAGGAGCTTCCTGAACATTGTGCAAATCTGCAACCGTGCAACTGGACAGATGAAAAGCATGGCCAGAGTTCATGGGTTCAAACCCACACTGTGGCCCCTGAGTCTGTCCTTCCTGCCAGTAGTGAGAAGCAGACACCCTGCCTGAGGTTGCCTCAGCTGGTTGCCATTGGTCACTCTGACCTTGAGACCAGAGGTGGGATGGTTCTACAGTCACCAGCCATGACAGAATCAAGTCCAGGTCCTTCATCAAGTAGTGCTGGAGAGTAATCTCTGTAGACCAGAGAGAGTTTGATGATCTTTGTACAAAATGGAAGGTCTCAGAACAACTGTAGCAAGAAAATCCAAATTCTATTTTCCCATTTACTCTATGATTAAGCTTAGAGTATTTTAATATTCATTGAATACATAATAAGGAGTCACTGGGTTTGCGCCTGTCTGGAGTATATTATAGTAACTGAGTAGCATATGGCCTAAAGGATATGGCCTCTACTCTGAGTAGCATATGGCCTAAAGGATATGGCCTCTACTCTGACAGAGCATGTATCCTAATGGAGAAGAGTGGATATAAGCACAAATATGTATCTATAATTAAAATGCAAGAAAAAGACAATGTGACATTAGTTTATGAAAGATGAGTATCTGAGTCTGTTCAGGCACCTGGAAGGCATGTTTAGGGATGTGATGTTGCTGGTGCTGGAAGCAACTGTGAGCAAGACAGAATGTCTGTGCATCAAGAGTTGGGTAAAGTGAGAGAAACAAAACAACAAATGAAAACCATTTCCACACAGACAGTTCATGGAGGAACCACTGTGTGACGCGGTGGAAAGTGCCCTGGGGGCCTCATCAAAGGGAGATATTAGGAAAGACCTGAAGGAAAGAAGATGGAAGCCCTAGAGAATTCAGGTTCAAGCTGGAGAGATGACTCAGAGGTTAAGAGCACTGGCTGTTCTTCCAGAGGTCCTGAGTTCAATTCCCAGCAACCACATGGTGGCTCACAACCATCTGTAATGGGATCTGGTGCCCTCTTCTGGCGTGCAGACATACATGTAGGCAGAGCACAGAGTACTGCATACATAAAAAATAAATAAATAAATAAATAAATAAATATTTATTTATTTATTTAAAGAACCCAGTCAAGCTGGGCATTGGTGGCGCACGCCTTTTATCCCAGCACTCAGGAGGCAGAGGCAGGTGGATCTCTGTGAGTTCAAGACCAGCCTGGTCTACAAGAACTAGTTCCAAACCCACAGAGAAACCCTGTCTTGAAAAACCAAAATAAATAAATAAATAAATAAATAAATAAATAAATAAATAAGAAGAAGAATTCAGGTTCCAGGGACTGGAAAACAGAAGAGCGGAAACTCACAGACTGGGATGTAGAAACACCCTTTGCTAACTCTGTGGGTGATAGTGAGGACTTAAGTGAGGACCCTGACTCCCTTTGGGTCACAGTCAGGAGTCTATGAGCATGTATTCTTTCAAGTGCAACAGGAAGTCTCCATAAGCATTAAACATGAATACCATAGGGTCCTAGCTTATATAATCACAATAAGATACTGCCATGGAACCTAGAGAAAGGTGAGGCTGCTGGCTACTTACTGTTACTTACTGTTGTACCTCAAGTCAAAGACAAAAGTTATGCAGTTGATTCCATCCAGCTGTGGGAACAGTAAGGCTCCTACTACAGGGGAAATGCATGGAGGTGGATACAAAAGCCAAAGGATGACTCTCTGGAATGAGGAATAAATGAAAAATGAAATTGTTAGAAACAGCGTGCTGGGGAGCTCCTGAAGGAAGCTTCTTATTTGTATGAGAGGACGAGTAATCAGAGGATGCTTCCTACCTAGGAACCTAAGACAGCATTCCTTATCTTCCTGCTTTGGTTGCTATGACTTCAGTGAGGCTCTGATTCCCAGGGACCATCCACTGTCTTCCCCACTATACCACCCAAGAATGTGAACATCTCCATCCACACATTTTCCTCAGCACCCATATGCATAATATGTCCCCAGAGCCAATCCCTTCCACAACCCCAGTCTTCGGCCCTCTTGCCACACACACTCAGGTGAACCTTGTCTCATTGTGTCCTTTCCTGGCACCTCAGTTATCAGTCACTGTATCACTGCTGTATTTTGTCATGGTGTGGCTTCCAGAGTTCCTCATAACCCGGTAATAGCACAATGCATGGAAACTCTGACAGGACTTTAGCTTTCTCCTCTGTAATCTTTCTTGGCAACTGGCAAACTGCCTTTGCCAGACACCAACAGGGCCGTTTCCTTGAGTCAGAGAGAGAACCTAAGAAACAATACGTGAGAGACTACAAGAGTCATCCCAAGACTATAATCCCAGAGCAGTCTGCCGCTGAAAGGCTTCCCCAGCCTGCAATCACTGCACCTTTCCTTTATACTGCTGCCTTACTTTCTTGGACCACATCCCTCCGTTGGTTCCCACAGTATGATGCAACTTTCAGCCCCAAACTGCCTCCTCATTGCTTTTGTACATGCTAAATTTTTTTTCTTTTCTATACTTTCAACATTCTCCCTGGTTCAAACTTGAGCTGCATTTGCCTGCAGCAACATTTGAATCCGTGTTCCCTGACTGTTTCTTCACTGGACTGTCTACTCCCCTCGCAGCCACCTGCTTTATGGTCTCATGCCCTACTTTGTTCTTATGTCAATCTGAAATGCTGGTCCCCTGAACTACCTTACATAGTCCTACATTCCTTCACATCATAGGTCCTAAACGTACCTATCCAACTGATGACAGTTCAGTGATATTCAGAACACAATTGCATATGCATTATAGACATTGTTCTTTTCATCATTCAACTATTTTGTAACATATATATTCTTTTATTACTCACTACAAGTAATCTATGGATGGTTTAAAGTGTTCAAAGTATGCAGATGTGTGTGTTCCAGGCAAACACTGCATTGCTTAACATAAGGGTGATTGGACTGAATAAATGCAGTAAACTGGTTGCAGTAAATTGAGCATTTACCCTCAGAGAGTAAATGCTCAATATATGTTGACTAGTATTGATGCAAAGACCAACACATCAGTAAGCCAAAGTGATTATTACCTGCATTCTGTTGAGAAGGATACGGTGAACAAAGCAGTTTACGCTGGAAGAATATTAACAAATGCCTGAGGAATAGATGAGCAGAATAAAGTGGTACTCTCAAGAGACAGGGAAGACGATGATCTCACCCCAGGAGCAGCACCATCTCAAGCAGTAGGAGGAGCTAAACTTGCACTTAAAAGGAATTTGTGTGTGGATCTTTGCAACCGTCAGGCAGATGACTTCAGATGTGAAGGAGACAGAGACCCACTGCTCGAATGAAGAATGGCAAATGGAATTCCCAAAGAGGTCTGCATAGTCAGTGGCAGACCCCAGCTCTCTAAGAAGGAAGATAAAAGGGAGAAAATGGAGAAAGGCTTCCATGTCCCACCCACAACCTTTGCTGTTTTCAATGACTGATGGCATGGTTGCCAAATATCACCTGGAATTCCAGTTCTCTGGCCTTTGGACTCAGACTGATTATAACCACTGACTTCCCTGGTTTATGTGATTAGCGACTTATCTCCAGTTGGTTCTGTTTTTCTGGAGGACTCTGATAGTGAGGAAGAGCTTAAAGATCAAAAGCTTGACTTGCAAAAAGGTATGCTGAGTCCTGGGCTTGTTAACAAGAAGCAATTGAACTCTGGCAATAAATCCAAGGTTTGATCCAATTCCACCACTAATTATTTGTATTTAATAAACTAAGCTCCATTGATCTCAAGGTCATTACCAATAAATTATCACAGATAATGCTTATTCAGCCCTTTAGCTGAAGCCTGGAATGTTGCCAAGGCTCAGTAAGTAAATATAGTATTTGTCCTTAGCAGGATGAAAGAGTTTAGAGTAGATGCCATTGGTTGACCATCTTGCCCTCAGCTGAATGCTGCACAGCAAAATTCCAGAGCAGAAACTCACCTATGAATAATACACACACACACACACACACACACACACACACACACACACCTATCAAAACTAAACTGTCAGAGCTTTGGGAGCTAGTAGGGGATTAAACCAACACTGATTCACTGATTTTCTAGAACAAAATTTATTTTTAAGACTCTGTCAAGCCTTGGGCTTGTGTGGGATTCACTAATGGGCCTAACTCAACCATAGTAACTCTGTTTTGGGCTGCATTCTGCATTGAACTTGGCAGAAATCTTGCTTCAGGTAAATACCCACTGCTTTGAAAAACTTTTCATACTGACCATATTTGACTTTTGTAATCATATAGGTTCTGTTGCTTTCATGTAAAATGTTTCCCATGACATAGAAATTCTTTTGTTCCTGTCATTTTAGCAACTTGTAGCTCATAACTGCTGTCACATTGTCAAGATAATAACAAGAACCCCTTTGCGTTTCCTGAGTGATGCCAAGCTGTTTCCTCTTTTTCTCTTATATGTTGATTTTATCCAAGTTAACTCTTGAGATCTTAGATTATGTAGAAATAAAAATATAACTATTGCTGTTATACCTCCAGGAAGTGGATTACACAGACACAGACACACACACACACACACACACACACACACACACACACACACACACACACACACACTCCTTTACATAAAGCTGAAGCTATTTTGTTTAAATAAAAAAGAAGGAGAGTAAAGAGACTTCAAATTTAGAAATTTGCCAGTGAACAATGTGGCCTCTTCTGTGTCATATTCCAGGGATCCTTCTTGTATGGATTTGCCCCTCCCGATTTCAAAGCCAAAGCCTTGATTAGATGGGCTAACTTCAGAAATACAGTTGGAATTCAAATCACATATTTTATTTGGTTTTGTTATGCATGAATGAAGACCCAAGTTTCATAATGAAGACAAAGAAAACAACCTTGAAGGTTGTTCTGATACATAATTTATACAAAGACCATGAAAGTTTGTGTAAAGAAATTCACGTTTTAGTGCACAGAAAAATATTCTCCAGGAGCACGTCTGATAAGATTTTCTGTATTGAACACAACTTTCTTAGTTCTATTGTTTTTGTAGAGATGAACCTTAGTTTTCTTCAAAAGAAAATAATTTTGCTAACACTGAAAAATGAAGCCAAAAAGATTCTAATGACAAGAGAATTTGTCTGGAATTACTCATTCTTTGTTGAAGAAGTAATTGGTTCCTTTGAAATGAAAAGGAATAAATAGGACATTTATAAAGTGGTCAAAGAATCAAAGTTATTTCTTCTTGGGAGGAGATATTCCCAGGGC